GGGGGGCAAAGCCCCGCCTCCCTGGAGGGGCAGGTCGAGGTCTGGAGGAGCTCCCAGAGGAGGCTTTTCCCCAGCTGGTGGTCTGGAGTGGTACCTGCCCATCTCTGGGCATGGATCTGGGCATGGAGGGAGCCCATAGACCCTTGCAGTTTACTGGGAGTTGTATGGCTTCCTCACCTCCCTCAAGCAGCATGGGGTTCTCCTTCCTGCCAAAGTCTCGCCAATGCCAGTAGACTGCACCCAGATGTGGCCCACACATTGCTAGGCACAAGGAGGAGCATGGAGGGTGTGTGGTGGTATACAGAGGTTCCCTGCAGTGTCCCTGTGAGCAGGACCTGTCATCCTTGGCTCAGGGTCACAGCACCTATAGGAGCGTGCGCGCGCGCGTGTGCAAGGGGGGAGAGAGAGAGAGAGAGAGAGAGAGAGAGAGAGAGAGGAGATCCCACCCACCCCAAACTTTCCTTTTAGAGGGCTTACCCTTTAGAGTTGCCACGCACTTGAGGGAGCCATGCTCTGGCCTAGCTGTCCCTCTGCTCAAGGCAGGCTGGGAAGTTAGGAAGAGCTGTCAGAAAGGGTGCTTTGGGGTTTGTATTGGTTTATGAAAACCACCTCTTATGTAAATATTATCTTTCTGGAGCAGAAATCCTTTTTCAAAAAAATTAGTTGCTATATTTAGTTGAGCTGTGGGAGGAACTAGGAGATAAATATTATTTAATATCCCCCATTAATGACTTGGCAGTGAGGGTGTCTCCTGAAGGAAAGCAAGGAAGCAGGGTCTTCCCCTGACCCTGAGGGAGTAGAAGGCAGATCTGGGGTCTACAGTCTCTTTAATGGGACTGCAGTCCCCAGTTTAAGAGTCTTGGTTCTCATATGAAGTTGGAGACTCAACCTTTAGCTCTGTCCCAGGTCACACAGATTCTGTCCCTTGAGGGCTCTGGCCTAGTTCGCTGTCTTTTCTGGCTCATGCCGTCATTGGTCCAGCAGAGGCAATACTCAGAGAGAGGGCGCCCCAGCCTCCTTACACCAAGTAGTTTTGTCTGGTAATGGAGTCTCAGGGTGTCGGAGTGTGATGATGGCAGAGGGTATTGGCTTGACATGGTGCGTAAGGGCATGGCAGGAAAGGTTGGCAGGGGTGTTTCAGGTGCCTCTGTTTTGATGGTGTTAATAAAAGCTCCCACTTCATTGCGCAATTGCTTTTGGCAGGCACTGCTCTCAGCACTTCTTACCAATTGAACTCATTTCTTCTTCTGAACGATTAAGAAGGGCTTTGTTGCCTGTTTCACTGAGGAGGTGAATGAGACACTTAGAAGCTCAGTGGCCTGCCAAGGTCACAGTCAGTGGTAGAGTTGGTAGTGGGGCCTCTCTTTAGGCCTCAGTTTCTCCTGACTGTATCGGACAGACACAGGTTCTGCCCCCTCCTCCCAACGGTGCCGGTGCCTGTGCTAAGTGTTGGGGTTGTCTGGGCAGCAGCTATTCCCGCTTCATTCCTCAGTCCTCCGGGTCACTCCCATCACTGGCTTGTTCCTCAGGAAGCGTCCAGGGCTCTGGGAGTTGTCAGGTGAGCAGAGG